CGTTTTTTTTAGGGGGGCAAAACCACCGGAAACACCCATACAAAAAAGACCCCCCCAGCCCCGGAAATTTACCCAAAGAAAGGGGCCGGTCCCTTGGGGGAGTAAAGATTTCCCCCCCCCGGGCCGGTTTTTAAAACCAGGATTGTTCCAGGAGAAAGGGGAGCCGAAAATGAAAGTATAGTTTTTGGAAAAGTTTTGGAGGAGAGGTTCCAAACCCCCCCTTTTTGGCCCCGTTCATTGTTTTCCCCTGCGGAGAAACCGGGTTTGTAAATTGGCCCCGGGGGTTGTGATTTTTTATGCACCTTCGGGTATGGGGGGCCGGGAACACCTTAAAAAAGGTTCAGCCCAGCCATTTGGGGTACAAAAATTCAGTATGGCCATGCGGCTTCGGCTTGTTTCGTTGGGATCCCGGGCCCCCCGGGGGGGGGGGGGGGGGGCGCACCCGATAGCTGTACCCCGCTGAAGAGCCCCGACCCGAGAACGCCTCTCCACCTCTGAGCGTCCAGCTTGAAGTGATCGCCGCCCTGGCAAAGCAGGCAGGCAGAACACCAAACACAAACATGTGACGCCGAACGAACACAAGGCCCATGCAACAACCAAAAGACAGGTGAATGTTGTAGCTGGCCAGTTTAACTATACGGGCGTAAAAACAACGTGCCGCAGCGGTTGGACTGTTGACCACGCATCCTCGACCGTTGACCACGCGAGGACGGAGCACTGTTCCCCCAGGACCGATCAATCGTCCCTTCCTACTTTGCCAAAGGTGGCTACAAATAATCTCTTCCCTGTACCCTATCGATACCACTTCACCGGACGAGGGGGGGGGGGGGGAACATACCTTTAGGCCAAGCCCCTTGGGGAAGGGGCTAACCTTAATCTTGCCCTTCTCCACTTGGAACAACCCGCTCTTGGGGTCTCGGATGTCGGCCGTCTGCCGTCCCCCTTCGGTTCAAAAAAAGGTGTGTGTGCGTGAAACCAAGGGCACCCGGAAAAAATGCCTACAGGGGGGGAAGGAAGGGTGAAAAGGGGGAAGAAAAAGAAGGACATGGGAAGGGAAACAGACAGACAAACCGACCC